ATACTATAATAATAGTTCATTGTTTGATTTATTTTATGTAAATCGTGAATGTATTATCACATCATTCGACGATCAAAATAGCAAGTGATCATACAACCAATATGTCAAGTATTTACTGAACGGTTTATATATTACAGATAAAGGTATTAAATACACAATTATATTGTTTATTCGTTTTGTTTTTAAACCATTTTTTGTGTCACGGTGTGACGGGTTAGATTCTTTCTTGAATTTTTTATTTAAAAAATCAACGACTTTCATAAAACATAAACAAGACATTGAGTAATGATTTTTCAAATAACAAATCATTGTGAAAGCAACTAATGAATTCACTTTATACATCAGAATGAAATTATATTGTTAAGTGATTATTTGGTAATTAAAATTATGAAGAAGATTTTTTATTTATAATTTTTAATCTTTAACAACAATACGATATTAAGCAAAACTTTATTGTTAAAACGTGTTCATATTTTGGCAGCGATATGGACTGTTCAATAAAATTATATTTATTAAATTGATACAACGAATAAATCAATATCAAATATTGACAATTTATTCACATTTTAAAAATATCGAAACACATTTTTACTTGATAAAATAATTTTTGGATATTCGAAACTATAATTTAGAATTTGTCTTTTTGTAATAACAAAAAAACCAAAAACGTTTTGTTTTTAAATTGAAAAAGGAAAATACAAAACCCTCATAAAAAGTATATAAAAACACCATTTTTCCTTTTAGCACAATCTGTTGACTTAGCCTCAAAAGATTTTGTAGAACAAAATTGTCGTTTTTCGTTTTAATAGCTTTAAATAACAAAAAAATAACCCAAAATGTTTTAAAACCCTTAATAACATTATTTTTGCCCAATAACAATTCGCAGTAATATTTCACGCCGCAGTGATTTTTCACGGTACTCTAACAACGAAAAAAAATGATAAACTCCAAATGTTCAAAAAAGGATGGGGAAGATTGACGGCTATTCCATGATGATCATTTCTCAACAATTTCATAGTATCTATGACTTTATCAATATCGAGTTTGTATGCAGAAAGTATGCCAACAATATAGCAAAGTTCCCTTACAACCCCATTTCTTTTACATCAAAAACAAGACGATTTTTTCCAAATTTAAACACTCTTCATTTGTATATAAAAGACGATTTACTGTTCACTGATATGGACATCACCTCGCACCACGTTGAATACAAAACCAAATTGAAATATTCCGACTTTGAAGAGAATACCATCTCTAATATTTTAGACAGAGCATTCCCAACAACATATCGCAAAATATGTTACAGTAGATATAATCATGATGATATTATGACTATTCCCTATGGTGTTTAGAGTTTTTCAAGGTGGTGTTTAGAGTTGTGCACTGCAAAGACAATTAACATCCCACAAAGTGTATTGGAGATTGGAAGGTCGACGTTTGAATGTTGTAATTAAGTGGAACATTTGTACCGCTATTCACACCTTATTGAACTGGGTGTGGAGTTCACGTATGTCAACAATTTGAGAGCCTTCCGTTTTTTGAAATAGATGGAAATTATAATTTATATGTTTATAAGAACATCATGTTTAATAACGGCATTTCGTTTTTAATTGGTTCGAATACAACATTGAAAGGAGTTTCACAGTTTTTTAATGTACCAATTTCACTTTCCGAAGGATCATCAGTAGAAATAAATAACAATTTTGCAATGAAAGATATTACGTTTGGTGTGGGTACAATAACAGTGACTGGAAATCTGAGAATATCAAATAACATGAAAATAGATAATGGAGGGGTTTTAAATGTCAATGGAAATGGAATACTTGAAAATAATGCAATTTTTGAATGTGAAAATTGTTTAATAAAATGTGCGACTTTTTATATGAAAAAGAACACAACTTTTACATCAAACAAAAAGAGTGTGGTACAAGCAAAAACGATAATTGCAGAAGAAAAATCTTTAATGTCAATTTTTGTCGACTTCACTGCAATTTGAAAAATTGGAAATTTACAAAAAGTCATATTTAAATTTCAACGACGTCGAAAACTTGAACGGAAATATTCAATGCACTTTAATAGCTTCAGAGTCAAATTTGATATTTACAAATAAAAATTCGTTTAACGAATTAAATTTGACAGTTAAAGAAGGTAGTAATATCATTTTTAATAGTATTAATACATAAAATTATTTTTATGTAAATGACTCCAATGTGACACTTTCACGTGAAAACAGTTTGACTGTTAACAATTTTATAATAAATGGCAATTCTTTTATATCAATTAATAACAATAACACGTTGAACACAAAAACAATACAAATCAAACAGAATTCTTCATTCAAAATCGACTCAATCGACACTAATATAGTGTTTGACACTTTCAATATATATGATGAATCAAAAATGGTTATTTACAATTCACATGATAATAATCAATACAATGAAACAGTCGTGTTAAAAGGACAAATTCAGTTATTTGGATCTTCTATTTTTGATGTTCAAAAATATTCATTAGTCACTTTGCTTGGCAAACTAAAATTTTCGGGGTCGTCTTCGTATACAATGGCAGGGTGTCTGCAATCAAATAATAACCACTTGGAGAATGATAATACTATCATGTTTGTTGATAATTCAACGCTTCTCCTATATGGAAACGCAACTATTAAAATGGTCAATTCTATTATCTTCTTAGACTCCGTGAAGGTATTTTTTTTAACAACAACGTTTACATTGAAACCAACACGTTTTATTGTTACAATTCATCAAAAGTGTATTTTGAAAAAGACTCCCACGTTGAGTTGTATAGCAGACTCTCCTTCTTTAACATGTCATCGGCCCATTATTCAAACAACATCACCATGTTCATCGACTTCCCTCAAATACATCCAGATGACTTCTCTTCATATTGTTTGTTATCATTTCGAGATGACTCCACTGTTGAATATAGTTCGAGTGTCTTTCTTCATGTCAATTCGTGCGTCGAATTTTTTAATAGCACCACTGCAATATTTCCAATTGGTTCGCATTTTGAGATTCAGAATGGGATTTATTTCTTTGATTCGAACTCAGCTTCAAAACTCAATGTCAGCATTGAGAGCGGGGCTGTATTTTATTTATATGGTAAACAGTACATCCCAAGTAATTGCATGGATTTTTATCATACCGATAATGATATACGCAGGTGTTGCAGTTTTTATATTGGGGCGTATGTTGCAATGCACGTATACAACACCACTATTTATGAAAATCCAATTTTCACGCTGTTGAATGGTAAAGCATCTTATAGGGAATCATCTATTTTATCATCAGATTGTTTCGATCTGTTTGCAACACCACAAGGTTACACAAAGGTAAAGTCCGCCACATCAAGTAATTTCATGTCTTTGGCTGACAACAAACTAAGAAGGTTTTGCCCAAATAGTGTCACTAAAAATTTCCAACACCAAAATTCTGACACCAAAAATATTAATAATTTGGAAATTTTGGAAATTTCCAAACACACAAAAACCACTTCCAACAAATTTTCCAAAATAATTCCGAGAATTCAAGAAAATGACACTTTTTTTCCTCAAAACGGTTTGCGAAATTTGGAAAATAGTAAAACCCTCGATGATGCAAATTATCCGACGGAAGTGTACTGCCATTTGAATGGAAGTGTTTACACGGAGTTTTACATGGACAACCGATTGCATTCGTCATTTACACACCCCCATTGTCCATATAATAACAACGAAACGTTTACGTTGTTAGTCATATCTGAGGTGAAACACTTGTTTATAGGAATGACTGAATATCCGGTGTATATTGACTTCAAACAAAAATTTTCAGTCGATGTGACATGTGACAATAATGAAGTGAATCAATTTAAAGGCAACTTTGGTGTTGTTGGAAGGGAAAAACTCTTACAAGTCGAAATTCCGAAGTGTGGAGAATTTATAGAAAGAACAGCAACAATCAAAAATGACAGCGCCGAGTTCAGAGTTAACTGCAAAAACGCTTCTGTTACATTTTCAAATGAGGTTAATGGGATGGTCGGATTAGGACAGAACAATTACATGTTTACTGAGATATCAAACATTCCACTGATACTCTATTTTATAAGCAGTGATTTGTACACACAATTTCTGACTTACAAGAGCGTACAAGGTACTTTATTAATGAGCAACAATTATTTAAAAACAACAAAAGGAACTTTGTATGACAGTGTGTATTATTATAATGTCTCATTTAAGGGTAAAAAGAAAAATGGAGGGAAAGATGTCACACATATGTATTTTAGCAATAGCCAATATTTCACTTGTGAAGACAAAGCTTTAACTTGTGCAAATAAGACATATGCAGTACAATGTAGTCAAGGGTTTATTATGAATCAAGCAGGCAATTGTATTCATATAGAAAACTGTAAAACTATAATAGGAGGTATTTGTATTGAACTTGGAGGAGCGTTCGACTATGAAAACAAAGAATTTACAAAATGTGATAACAACTGCTTTTTATGTGTAAGAAATGTCTGTTTCATATGTGGTGCTAATTCGATTCTAATAAATGGTAGTTGTCAAACAAAAGGAATTGGAGGGAAAACAGTAAACTCTCATTCTACAGTGAGTTGTGAAGATTGTTATTTCAACATGTTAAATTCATGTCACATGTGTCACACTCGTTTTGAAAATTGTGAACTTTGTAACATAAAAAAATGCACCAAGTGTGTTTCTGGCTTTACATTAAATAAAATACAGCAATGTGATATACAAATTTCAATACAAAATATCTTAAAAACGACACCACAATGTCCACTCGGGTATTCGGTATCCGAAAATGGGAAGTGCACCGAGTCAATATCACATTGTATACATCAAAGCGAACAAACCTGTTTACAATGTGACAACAATTATATTCTCTCATATGGAAATTGTTACCAAACTGTTATTAGTAACAATGAAAGTTGTGGGGTATATTCTTCCATTGGGTGCATTCGATGTAAAAAGGGGTATTACACTGACAAATCCAACAAATGCAGCCCGTGTAACATTAAGTGTACTGAATGCACTGGAAACTCCGAGAAGTGTCAGAGTTGTATTCCTGGGACGGTCTTGTCGCATGGGAAGTGTGTCACAATATTTACTCTTGAGGGGATATGTACTTCATTTGAAGCGAATGGGCAATGCACGCGGTGTACTGATGGGTATTTCACAGTGAATGGAACGTGTCAGAAATGCACACATCCATGTGCGATATGTAAAAATGAATTAGTTTGTGAAAAGTGTGAAAATATGTATTTTATGAATGAAATGAATTTGTGTGAGAGTGTGTATAACATCTCAAATTGTAGTGAAGTATCGGACACTTCGGGTGTATGCAGTGCTCCGATGGGTATTACAAAAGTGGACTACGCTGTGCTAAATGTCAAACAAATTGTTCGAAGTGTATAACATTCGACTCTTGTTACAAGTGTGATAACAACATGGTGTTGGATTCAAATGTTTGTAAAAAACGATTATATATCGAGCATTGTGTTAATGTTACCAAATCCTTATGCGAACAATGCGACTTTTGGCACAATAAGAGGGACGATAAACTGTTTTGTGACACACTTAATTTGACCAAAACACTTCTTATTATATTTTTGGGGTGCGTTTTGGTACTGATTATTACTTCGATCGTTGTGAGTCTCATCGGATACCAAATCATACATTCTCGACATCTTTATAATGAGAGGAAAAAGAAAGGGGTAATATCAGTTCATGATATTAAAGAACCATTAAACTGTTTTATAGATGGGATATACACTGATAGTTCAATTATAGATCTGGGAGTTGATGTCCCTGTTAATAAAACAAGCACATTTACAACACTTTTTGCTAACAAATTGGATTTATTGGTCAAGCTTCAATTGGTCTATAGACAAAACAATAGTTACGATATCACCATCTCTCCTCAAGTTGTAACTTTGCGACCCAATGACGCATGTGTTTTTACAATTGATATTACACCGAAATACTCTGGCGATTTTGATGGATTTTTAACTTTAAGTTGCGTATTTCTACGTTGTGGAATAGAAACAGTGAAAGCACTCCCATTAATCTTTTCGACGGAACTTTCAACGTGGATAGACAGTAGTTGTATCTCCAATATGACTGAGATAGGACGAGGAGGGAACGGTACAGTCTATCGAGGTATATACAGAGACAGAGTTGTGGCAGTTAAGACTATGAAATGTGCTAATATGTGTGACACGGACGACGAATTTACAACAGAAGTTGATATGTTACAAAAAATGCGAAGTCTGTTTGTTCTTGAATTTGTTGGTGCTGTACTTGTTGGGGAGAAAAAGATGATTGTCATGGAATTTATCAAAAATGGGAATCTTGAAACGATCATAAAGAAGTATACATACCAAAAAGATGAGAAAGAAGTTGTGCAAATTATAAAAATATCAAAAGAAAAACAGCAAGACGTACAAAACACAATTCAAGACAAATCAATTAGAAACGATGAAATAAAATCAAGTGATGAAAAATCAAATGTTCTGTTGCAGACAAACTCGTCACTGCAATATAAAACTGAAAACTTTCAAAAAGCTGAAGACCATCTTCTCATTAGCAATATAAAAAAAGAAAACACTAACGCACTTCAAAATTCATCAGACAAACTTAACATTATTGGTGATGTCTCAAGTCAACATACTTTAATTAATACATTAAATTCTCAGAACAATTCTGCTTCAAGTACCATCGGTCACATTAAAAAAATTCAGAACAGTCCATTGAGTTTAGAAAATCTCTTAACAAATCACAAATCATTAATTCAACATCCACATCAAAAGCTCTCAAAAAACGTCCGTTATAAAATGTTATTAGATGCAGCCAAAGGAGTAGAGTACCTGCACACCAACGGTATTCTCCATAGAGACATTAAGCCCGGGAATATATTAGTAGAAGAATTGGAGAATATCACCGAGGTGAATGCAAAATTGTCTGATTTTGGGAGTGCGAGAAATGTGAATTTGTTGATGTCAAATTTGACGTTTACTCGAGGAGTTGGAACGCCTTCGTTTATGGTACCAGAGATATTGAACGGACAGAAATACTCAATTGAAGCGGATGTGTATGCACTTGGAATCACTTTCTTCGAAGCGTTTGCGTGGGAAGAGGCTTGTGTGGATGTGAAATATTTCTTTGAAATAGCAGAACGTGTGTGTAAGGGAGAACGTCCAAAAAATAAAAATTTGACTGAAAAAGAAATAAAAATACTTGAAAAGATGTGGGCGCAAAATAAACATGATAGAGTTCCAATAGAAGATGTTGTTAATATTATGCAAATAATGTTGGATAAAGTTCGATAATGTTATTTATTATTCATTCTGTTTTTAATGCTCAAGAAAAGTGTCGCCGTTTTGATATTTTTTACGTTTTTTTTGTTTTCTTATTATTTTTAATTAATACAACTATAGTGAGAAATTTTTGTTGAAACAATCAAAACAAAAAGTTGTTATATATTTTATTAATAATAAACAATTTTTTTATTTAATTTGTTGTTTATTTATTTTTATTTAATAATCAAATTTTCAAATTTTTGAAGTTTGAATTGAAAAACTTAAAAGTCATTGACGATATGAGTAAATTGGAAAGAGTGTATTTGATGAATGTTACTTTATACGTCAACACGGTAGATTCTCTTAAAACATTTGAACAAGTTAACAAAAAATGTTTTGAGTGTTTTCAGAGTCTATTCATCAACCCTCTTATTAATTTGGAAATTGAGACTTTTGCTTTATTTAAAGAGCCTCGTGAGGCTTTATATTCTTCAATATTCAATTTTATAATTAACGCATTTCCAAAGATTGAAACTCTTCAGTGTTACGATTACATGTTAGGTAACGACGACAAACTTGTCTACAAAGTCAAGAAAATACGTATTGTGAAAACCCCACACAACAAGAACAATTATTACAAAAACATTCATGTGCCACATTTCCACCCACAAATAGTCACATGTGCTATCCCAAAAATAGAAAATTTCTATGTTGGCACAAAATGCACCAATTTGTTGCCTACTGACAATTACACCAATCTTAAAAGTGTTCATATGAATGGGTGGATCCGTAACCCAAACATTTTACAAAGGATTTTTGAATTAAAAAGTGTCACAAAAATAACAATTTGGAATTGCACCCACCCGACCTTTTTATCATCAATCGAAACGCAAATTGAAGCGCGTCGGATGAAAAAAATGGCAAACGTAAAAGTTTCAATTTTTATTGAAAAAACGGCAATCAGAGAAATACTTAAAAAGGATTTTGATGTTGCTATTATAAAGCTAAAGAAACTAAATGTCGACGTATTTGATTGTGAAGAAAATGTTGTTGACCACTGTGGTGTACTTGATAATTCGAGATTTGTTGGGGAAGTAGTAATAACAAATGTGAAAGGATTGGATTTGGTTGGGTTTCGAAGAGACGAAGAGGTTCAAACAGAAGACCATTTTGAATACATTGGATATAAAAAGTGGATTGAATTAACACGAAAAATTAATAACAACAACATACAACAAAGTGTAGAACAAAAAGATGAACAAATGACTACAATACAAAATGAACTTATTGAATACAAAAATGAAATCGAGACACAAAAGAGTGAAGGAAGTAATGACAATTTGAATGAAGAAAATGATAACAATACGACACATGATGAATACACGGATGAAGACTTGCTATATTCAGAAAGTGATGCAATAACTTCTTCACAAAATAATGAAATTAACACGGATATTCCAATGACATGTCCATTAGTTGTATTAGACAATGTAATGACTGAAGTTGCGCTTTTAACTCACCAAATTACAATATTAACTCTTTTCAATATTTCTAACATCAAATTATCAAAACTATTTGCGACTACTATTTTAATTGTGAAATGCAAAAAACTTGAAGTTTCAATAAGTGCTGTCGACATGATTAATTGTTATAATTCGTCACATATTAAAATTGTAAATTTTGGATATATCAACTTTTTTAATTTGAAAACATCAAATAATATTATTATTGAAAATCACGCAGAGTATCATATTATGAGTGTCGTCGCATCAAATATAAAAACTCTTTTACTTGTAAATTGTATTGTTGAAAATACAAATGTTGAGAATTGCACAAATTTTGTGATGTCAAATTGTGAATATGGAAATGTTGAGTTTACAGGTTGTGACAAAGTCTCTATGGATCTGACAAATAAACAGATTAACTCTTTTAAAGTGAAAACTTTATCATTTAATCGCATCACCAATTCAAACATTTACACACCTTTAAAAGCAATTTTAAAAATTTCCAGATCACATTTTGCACAGTTTAAAAACATTTTTGTGAACACTCTAAATGAGTATTTAAGAGAGTTTGACAAACTCCAAAAATATGATAATGAATATGAAGTCAATTTTATGAATGGTGTGACTTTCATAAATGGGAAACTCACGATGGTAACTTTTAATAACGTCAACAAAATCCCGTTTTTAGAAAATATTGATGTGAAAATTTGCAACAAGAAAGAAATCAAAGAAATTTTCATTGAAAAGGCGAGACGTGTTTTTATTAATGCAAATAATGACGTCAAAGTCATTTGTGGAGAAGTTGACTCTGTAGTTAGTACTTGTTATAGTATTGTTTACCGTGAAGAAAAGTATTTGAAATATGAAGAAATAGAAAGGTGGATGGATGATACAGATTATATTGTGGAGGTGTACGGGCATGTCAAATTGTGTGCATATTATATCACATATCCATATAAAGATCTTAATTTGAACGATTTTTATTACGATCAAAATGATCATATCGTTATTAATGTGTTGAAAGCCGAGTACATCATTAATTTGTCTGATATGCCTATAAAACGTATATACATCGAAAGAACGGCGAAGTTTTGTGGTAACAAATTAATACTCAACAATAAAACTGAATTTGTTGATTTAAAAAATATTGATTTTAAGGAAATAGTCGGAACAAAGTGTTTAACTATTAATAGAAATTACAAAGAAAATAAATACGAGAAAACCGTGTTTGAAGCACAAAAGAAAAAGACGCGAGTGAGTTGGGCGAAATGCGAGAAAATTGTTTGTAGTGAAAGTGTTGAACAAATTGTAGTAAAAACATGTGACAATTTGGAGGAAATTGTAGTTGGAGAAAATGTTGTTAAGATACACGTGCAATCGTGCAAAACATTGAAACGATTTATCGGAAAAATCAAAGGCGTGCAAGTTGTTGTCAAAAATTGCCCATTACTTGGACTTAATGATAGAAGTTATCAAAAGGGAAAAGTTTTGTTTTTGCCTTAAATCAATTAACGAGTTTATTAAAAGACATTTTTGTTATATTTCTAAATGTTGTATAACCACTTTTTATTACAAAATTTGTTTATAATTAAAATAAAAATGATTGTCCAAATTGTGTTAAAATTGTTTTTAATTTAATAATAAACTATCTGAGTTTGTTGTATTTAACTCAAAACTATTTAATAATATATTTAACTTAATATTCAATTACCAAATACATGTTAATTATAATTATTGTTATTACCAATTATTGTTAAGACATATATAATAACACAATTAACATTGTCAATTTTGAAATCATTTAATTTATAAAAAATATAAATTAAATAAACAACTAATACAACCTGTTTTGCATTTCCTAATTTATAAAGTTTCAAGACGTCGATATTATTATTTTTTTGAAAGCTCTTTTAAGCCTTATGGAAGAAACAATAAACAAGATAATACAGTGTTTTATCTTATTTTTATATTTAACAATTTTTTAAAAAAATAGAAGAAAAATGAAATTGAAAAAAAGCAGAGTACATTTCCAATGAAATTAAACAAGTATGAGACGTTTTTTTTAAAAAAACTGATCATCTTGAATTTAATGACGAGTTTATTAAAAGAATTAAAGTAATAATTAGTGGTGTCGGTGTGTAATAATATATATTTGTCTTTTCAGTTTGAACACCAAAAAATTACACAAAAATTTTCTTGGTGAAATTACCATTATCTTTTAGTTTTAAACTCTTCTAATATAATAAACTCTGCATTTATTCTGTTTGTGAAATCTTATTTTTGAATTTTGATTTACATATTTGTAAAGGATAACATGTATTGCAATATTTTAAGTGAATAAAAAACTAAAATCTGTTTTTTAACGAATTGTGCATGTTTCTAAAATGTACAAGTCTCTATTATAAAGAAATATTTGAATGTGTTTCGTCATAAAAAAAACTATTGTTTTTACAAATATTTCAAAAGTTAATTAACATAATCAGAGTTACTGAATATTTATTAGATTTGCAGTGTACATAATATATATCAACTTAAATTAATTTTAATCGCTCAAAATATTAAATAAATAAAAGAATTGTTTCAGTTTTCGATATGATTTAAATGTGATTAAAAATTTTTAAAAGTAACAAAAACAAATATATAAACTGTAATTCATAAAGTGGTAGTAAACTATATTATAATTAAATTTATTATAATTATATAATATTTTAACAAAAAACAATATTTTAATATAAAAAATCCCGCGCAATATCTTGAGTAAAAATTTCAAAAATTAATTTTTAACAAGAAAAGCCACGTTTTATAAGACAAAATATAAAATGGTGTATTAACTAGGGTTTGAAAACAAACAATAATAAATGGAAATTGAACCAGATAAACTGTCCGTTTCTGAGAAAAAATCGAATGGTTAAAATTAAAGGTGTAAGAAAGGCTTTAACAAAAGGAATGTCTTATAAAGAAGTCCAAGATTTGTTTTTAATGTCTTTTCGCGACATTTCCACAATAAAAAAAGACTTAAAAAAAGACAAGCCAATTGTTTTAAAAAAGAAAGGAAGAAAAATAAAATATGACAAAGAATTCACAAAGAAAGTAGTCGAATTGACATCAAAAGATATTTTTTCTTCTTCAAAAATGATTGGAAAAGAAACAAAAAGTAGTGCATCAACTGTCAACAGAATCAGACACAAAGAAGGATTCATTTATACCAAACTAATCCAAAGACCGAGCATGAAACCGATTCGCTTTTAAAAAAGACTTGAATTTTGTAAGAAACAGACAGAAAAACGCTCGAAAGTGGATGCATTAAATAAATGGATGAACAATACAATATACTCTGATGAAAGCCGCTTTTGCTTGCTATCTGATGGCCGTTGTATTTGGAGGAAAAAGGGTGAGTATCCAGAAGGATCTTTCGTGGATTGTTCTAAATACAACGTGTCTACAATGGTGTGGGGAGGCATAGGGAGAAATTTTAAAACTAGACTATCTATTTGTCAAAGTCGCATGAATAAAGATGGTTATGTTAAAATGTTAAAAGAAAATGAAGTTTTTGTAGATGCCAAAAAAGTTTAAGGAAAAAGATTCTACTTTATGCAGGACGGGGCTACATGCCACACTGAAAAAAACACGATGCATTGGTTTGAAGAAAATGGTGTTAAAGTAGTCAAAAACTGGCCACCATATTCCCCTGATCTTAATCCAATTGAGAATTTATGGAGCGTCATGGAGAAGCGTCTAAGATTAAAAAAGAGCTCGTTTCAAAATGTAAAAGAGTTGGAAAAGGAATTATTTGCTGTATGGGATTCGATTTCCATGGATGAAATCAACAATTTGATTGATTCTACACAAAAAAAGGTTTGCATTGTGTATTGATAATTGTGGACATTTTATTGGATATTCACTTTGAAAACAAAGCAAAATTATTTTTACTTCAGCGTTTTCTATATCCTCGATTTTAGTGAATTTGGTTGATTTTTTCTTTTATTTTAAAGGTTTTTTTCTATTATATATTGAAAAAACGTTAAAATAAAAATGGTAGTAAATAATACAAAAAACAAAATAATACGATGTTTTTGTTTTAAACAATGGGATTATTAAGTTATATTAAAATGGTAATACCAATTTATGGTTTCCAGTTTATGTATATTAGTTGTTTTTAATTTGTTTTCAATAATTTTGTCTGAAATAGTCACAAATTATAAAAAAGCAATTAATACAGCTGTATCAATTTGGTATGAGTTAATATTTCAATTTCATTTAACAATTAGACGACCCTGGTTCCTTAAGCGATTTCCAATTGAGTGTTTTTGATATTAAAAAAATATTTAAAAATAAAAAATAGTGTTTATGAATGTTTTAATTTGATTTAATTAACAAGTACAATCACTTTTTTAATTCCTGTTTTTAATTGAGTCAAATTACTATACCAAACACCATTCCTCATAATGATAAATGTTGTTTTATAGATGTTTAGTCAGATTTTAAAATAATACGACAAAAAATGTATGCATGTATTTATTGATGTGTATTTTTATAACATTCGTATTTGTAGTAATACAATAAAAATGGAAACCTGTACAGTGGTATTTATCTCATTTTATGTACAATAAATACAAAAATAACGAATTCAGTTTTATGAAGTTGCTTATACAACTTCTACCAATATCACAACTAGGCGTATTAATTTTTTGCCTCGTTTTCGTTTAAAAAACAGGGAGCTGGTGTTAACTTTTTCCCATATAAAATATTTTTTAAAAAAATACTTAAAAACAAAAAAAACATTCTATAAAATAACACTAAAGAATTTTTGGGCTTCTGCATTAATTGTGTAAATTTTGGTAAACGTTTGGTTGTGACCAATATCATAAAATATGACTCAAAAACAAAACTTTTCAATGTGTAGTGATAATAAACTAAAGTAGTTTGCAATACGAATAAAAGTTTTCAATTTGGTATACATGTAAATATTAATATCTTTTTTAAATGGAGCATTAAAAATACCATATAAGTCATTAACTAAAATACATTTTATTTCTTCTCCTCTTTCTTCTCAGTAGCACAAGCCTTTGGCGAGGCTTCTTTTTGTGCAGCTCCCTTTATTCCTCTTTTCTTTGGCATGTGTATTTAACAAGTAAAATGTAAGTTTCTTTTTTATCTTTCATAGAATTAACATATTTGTGAAATATGACAGCTATGTTTTATATAACATAACCGGTGTACAGCAATGACAAACAGCAAATAATTTCAATTTAAAATTAACAATACACAACGTTTGATATGCCACAACTCAATACATCCCAATTCATTATACGTTACACTTTTATTAATATAAAAATGTAGATTTTTTTGCACGGAAATAAAAATACGACAGATCACAAGATTTTTCACCACTAATCATTATCACCACCCACACCACGTCATTATTATAAATAACACACCAAATAAAGCACAATAATGTGGCATCTAAAATTCCTGATTATTGTACAAAATATCAGTTAATGTACTTCCAAAATAATTATTATATTCTATAAAAGAAAAAACAACATCTTACAATTCACACGTTAAATACACATGCCAAAAAGGGAGGAAAGAAAGGAGCTGCACCAAATGCTGATGCTATTGAGAAGAAAGAAGAGAAGAAGTGAACCCATACTATTAATTAATTTAGTTATTTGACTTATCATCATATACTTTTTATATTATCAAAAGTTGAATTTTATTAAATGCAAATTAATAAATTTTAACACTAAGTTGTTTTAAAAACTTTTACTCAAGCATTTTTACTGTATGAAAAAATAAAAATGTATATGAATTGTCATATATATGTCAACTACAACTTTAAATGTTACGGTTTTTATTGATGATGTAATTTACCAAACTTTTTATAATATTTGTATTTGGTGATAATAAATACTTTGTTGACATTCGTTTCGTGGTTTTACAACAAACTAAATTACAATTCATTAGAAGAATAATAATAAATACGAATCTTATTACAAAATTATTCTTATAGTCGAATGAAGTAATTAACATGTATATTATCCAAACATCAACACGTTTTCTATTTACTTCAACAAGTTCTTGTCAATATAGCTGCTTGCACGGTAGTACTAAAAACAACAGTTTCGTCTTTTTGATGCTTTTTAAATCAATTGCTTTTTATATTTTAGTATTTTGATATTAATTTTTATTTTTCATAAAAATAATGGTTTAATTAAATTGTTAATTTAAAATGAAAACAAGAATTTTTCAAATTAAAATAAGTAACCTGAAAATTAAAATGTCTTTAGAAATTCGTTTTGCCACAAAAGACGACATACCTGCATTAATTTCAATATATACAACAGCTCGTAACTATATGAAAACCCATGGTAACCCAACACAGTGGGGTGATGCGTATCCAACAATTGAACAGATTACAATCGACATTGAAAAGAAAGGATTATATGTGTGCACTTCAAACAGTATCATTTCTGCTGTTTTTGCTTGTTTTCCGACCGGACCAGACTTATGGGGAAATAGAAGGTAATTGGACTAACGACCTGGAGTATTACGTCATTCATCGAATTGCTTCAAACAACACAGTCAAAGATATAGGAAAGTATTGTATACAGTGGTGTCTTAATGATTTTAAGAACATAAGAATTGACACACACAAAGACAACAAGAGAATGTTACTTTTGATGAATCAAATGAAATTCACGTATTGTGGGATTGTGCACGTAAGAAATTCCGAAAGGGTGGCGTTTCAGAAATTAATTGTTTGATTTTTATATTTTTATTTAAAAAAATATTTTAAAAAATATTTTCAAAGTTTGAATTTTAAAAATAATTAAAAGTCCAATTTTTTAATTTGCGTATATTTAATTTTAAAATTAAATTTAAAATTATTAAACACTAAAATCAACACATTTAAAAACCCAAACATTAAATTTGTAGTGATTTTATAACTGTGTGCCATCAATACAATTTACTAATTGCTCTTTCATCATATTTAAATCAAATTTAAACGGTTTCTCTCCATAGTTAATCACAATTTTATTAAAAGTGTTCATTGAAATGGCAGCGGCAATATAGTCTACATCAAAATAGTTTTGAAACACCCTTTTTCCATTACAAGTAAAGAAGATGTCACACTCTGTTTGTAATACATTAAAAACTAACCCAACACCAACGTTGCGTGTTCCCGTTTTTTCGCCATATCGTATACCAGTATCATATACATTGTTAATATAATCCTTGTATATTATTCCATCGTCGCTGTGATATCCACAAATCATTTGTTGCCAGCCAACCAAAGTGTTCTGATATTCGGTATCTTTTGACACATTCATAACGCCAACAGCTATAAGGCTGTCTCCAGTCACTTCAACTTCAAAATATCTGACGTTCAATTGTCTCTTTCACGTTATTTTTATTGATAAATTGCATTTTGTCATAAATGTTAATCGAATCAAGAAATCGAGACGAGATAACCATGTCGTACATGCCTTCTTCTATTTCTTTTTTTTCTAATAATTTCATCACCAATTACTTCAACACGTGAACTCATTGAAACAAATTTGGACATTTTCCACTCGCCTTCTTCTTTAATTGGGAGTGGAAATTCAAAAACAAAATTGGCACTTTCAACGAGTTTCTTTGTACGTTTTTATTGGCATATTTTTGAAGATACTTGACCATATCGATTCCGTTAAAAGTTATTGCCGCAGACTGACTCAAATGGACAACTTTGTTTTCAAAGCTGATTTCTGGCACTGACACATAGTCTGATTCGATCACAGTAAGTCTCTTGAGGTTATCAATTTTTTTGAATGTGATTTGATATCCTTTAAAAACAAAAAGTGTCTTTAATTTGTCAAGTTTACAAGAAAAACTAGTTTCATCGACATCCCACAACTCAATTTCAGAAAGTGTATTCATTTTGCACTTCTCGGTGAATTTAATTGCAACGGCATTTGTCACAGAGAGGCTTTCCAAACAAAGAAATTCGTTGTCAAAATTTACTTCAATAAATGTTATAATTTTGAGAGTTTTAATGCAAGAAAAGTCGATGTTAAGAACACGTGTATCAACATTATCACCATCTACGTCATTGTTTTTAAAAAGCAAGTATAGATGTGAGACACTTTCAGGAACAACCCATGTTGTCTTCATTTCTTCATTTGAATATTTAAATTTAACAGATGTGGAATACGAGTTCTTAATGATTGTATTGATAATTGGACTGATAGTAGAACCCTCAATCTCGATCAATCCGTTTTTACATACAACTCGTTCACTGAGTGTTTCACACGTATTTGTAACACAAGTATCGTATATGTATGTCGTTTTCTTAAACAAACTAAGGACATTTTTATCCTCTGGGTGATACTTGATTTTGATGTACACAGTGCTTCTTTTGTTATCAAGAAGTGTCTGTTCTAGCCACTTTAATTTATTAAAAATGTTGTGTTCAATTTAATTGGTTTTCCATTATCCAAAAAGATAATAATTATCTCGGGAAGGTGCAAATACTTTGCTTTTCCATTTTCAGTGTAATCATTGATAAAGTTAATAAAAAAGTTTAAATCTACACGCAGATAATTTAAAGATGTTAGATGTTTTGTGTGTTTTGTTATTAATTTGGCACATTACAAACACGCGTTATAG